TAGACATTCTTACCATCTATGGGGTACAGAGACGTCCGTTACACGCTTCAGTATGGCACATACTTCCTCCGTCCCATAATATAAGGCCTCCTTTGGTTTGTAGGAATTTCATAGGATTTCTATAGAATAGGATTTGCAAGGAAAATTTCCTTTGATGCCCTTTGGTTTGTAGGAATGGATTCCTATTCCTATGTAGGATAGGAATCAATCATTTACATTTTGAGGGGAAAAAACATCAACTGAGACTCAATGAAAAAAATTCATATCATATGCATCAAATGACATCTCTTTCTCTATAGGAATTGAGATGCACGTCATCTCACTTCCTATGATTTTTCTACTCGTGTAACATTCCTATCCTATAAACCAACTATTATATTATAAGACGGGGAGTATATATTACACTCTCACCGTTTACTTTCGCAAACATCACCTAGTGGAAGAAGTGGAACTGCGAGCGCAACTACTGCTGCCTGCAAACAGCCTGTAAACGCAATGTGATACGGAACACTGTGCTAGCACGCAGAGTCCACCACCACCTTGATCCGTTGGAGGAACAGCTCACCTCCACAAACCAAGGCCAACCGACCATGGGAATTAAGAAAAGAACTCGAAACGTCCATTCCAGCTTCCTCTCACCTTCTCCTCACATGCAGGCGCACATCGGCACATGCACCGGCAGGCACCTGATTTTCTCCAAGTCAAATGTGCCACCAAGAACACCATTGAATGCTAATTATGACAGCGGAGACACAACGATCAGTTTCTTAATCTTTAATCGGTAGGGACATGGCAACCATGACAGCGTGTGTACTCTACCTGACAAATCTGATTGAACTGGAAAACTGTATCTTCAGAGAGCTTATTTTTCTCATGAGTAGCTTCTAAGTTGCCCCAATTCTATTGTACTTGCAATGCAGATCACTATAGTTTATGCATGGATGTTTCACAAGACTTTTTTGAAAATTTTCTCACGATGCAAGTCACAATCATGCAAGAACGTGTGTTTACTTTGCTATCTGTGCGTCAATTCCTCGATTGTAGTCGTAAAACAACGCAGTTCCTGTAACTACAATCAATCTGAACAAGAAAAAAAAAAGCACAAGGAAAAACAAATCCATCTTCTGCGTTCAAATTGCAAACTGAATTTCAAGACGAAGAAGATGTGCAAAAATCAAATGCGCCTCAGGAATGGCTTCCGGCGCTGCTGCTGTTCGCCTGCCACCCGCCGGCGGCCCAGAGCGGCGCCGTCCTCGTCCGCGCGAGCGGCAGCCTCTCCTCCGCAAGGGACGGGGCGCCGCTGCTGCCGAAGCTTCCTGACTGCGACTCCACGTCCCGGCGCTCCCGGTCGGCGCCGTCGTTCCTGCTCGCCTCGGCCATCGCCGGCCACCGGAACGACACGGACCGCCTCGTACCGGCCAGTGTCCGGCCGTCTTCCTTCTTGGCGCCGCGCACCATCCAGATCTTGGACACGGAGAAGCTGTCCTTGTTGCTCAGCCTCGCGTCGTCGCCGCGGCGCGCTCCGTCGGGCTCCGGCGCGGCGGCCTCTTTCACGGCCGCTTCCCACGCCCCTCTCTTGGCGACGTCGCTCCCGAAGTCGCACTCCGAGAGCGCGTGCCGGCGCCGCGACCTCGGGCGCTTCTTGGCTGGCGTCTTGATGGCGACGCGGAGCGCGGCGTGGTCGTCCATGACGTACTCGTAGGATCCCATGGACAGGCACCTCCTACGTCCGAGGTCGTCTCTGCCAGCGGTTTGATCGGCGGCGAGATGCTCTGAACCGCCATTGCTGCCGTCCATGCACCGGAGCTTGCCGAGCTTCACCTCGACGACCTCCTCTGCCTTCGGGGACCCCTCATTCTCATTGTCGTCCCTTCCACCCGGCGCCTCCGCGGCCGTGTCGGAGCGACCGTCGGACTCGAGGACGAGCACCATCGGGCTGGAAGCTGGCGAGAGGTCGGCGGCGAGGACGCTGCCGCGGCAGAGCGGGCAGGTGGAGTGCGAGAGCAGCCAGGCGTCGATGCAGGGCACGTGGAAGGCGTGGCCGCAGGTGGGCAGCAGCCGGAGCGCGTCGTCCATGGCGAACTCGCACAGGCACACGGCGCAGTCGAAGGGGTCGCCGCCCCCCTTTCGGTGGCCGGCGCCGGCGCCGAGGATGGCGCGGTAGACGAAGACGGGGAGCGCGTCGATGAAGGCCTGGTCGACGCCGGCGTCGTGGAGGTGGAACAGCTGCTGGAGCTGACCCTGGAGCGCCGTGGGGCTGCTGCCGTCGACGTCGCCCGCGGCAACGCGCAGGCGGTGCCGCCGCGCGCGCCGCAGCCGGAGGATGTTCTGCACCAGCAGGTTGAGCAGGCCGAAGATGAAGAACACCATGGCCAGGATGGCCACGATGAGGAGCACGCCCGGGCTCAGCTTGTTCTGGATGGTGTCGAGCACGGAATGCGTGGGCGGCGGCGGCGCCGCCGCCGCGGGGGTGGACGACGACGAGGCGTCCATGGCAGGCAGGCGTAGGCTACGCCGTGATGTGTGTGCCCGAGATGCTGGACATGGTGATTAATGGCGGTGGGTTAAGGTGTTCGGAGGAGATCCGTGGACCGCCGGCCGGGATGGTGCGGTGGAAGTCACCGCGACGGAAGGTAAATGTGGGCAAGGGAGAGGCGATCGGTATTTATTGCCTCGTTATTGTGCAGCACTCGCGCATTGGAGATCGGATCCATTTTTATCTTCGGAAAGCCATCCTGAATTTGCAGAGGGTAGTGTGCCACAGTGATACGGAGATCGCTTGCTATTTGTCTCGCTGACCAAAGCTGCATCGGTACTGAAAACTGAATACTAGGGGACCAAAATCACTGTTTTGGCCTTTTTGTTTGAAGTTTAACGTGATTTGGCCCCGTGAAAGTTTGCCCGGATTTGAACATTTCTTTTACCGTCAGAACCTCAGACGGTAGGATTTGATCAACGTTGCAAAGGTCTACCTCTGCAACGGGTGGCGGTAGCCTTTTGTACGTGTTGGCTTATAATGCAGTCAATGGCGGTACGAAGGCTATCCCCTTCCCCTCTCCCCTATCTCTGATTGGGCGTGGATGGCTTTTAGCCTGAGGTTTGCTTGGGGACATCCGTTAATGCTTGTCATGTCAGGGTTCATCGTGGTCTTGTCTTGAGTGGTCGATTGTTTCGGCTTAGTCTTAAGACTTGTAAATTGTAATTATATTTTTTTTCAACGCATCGAGGTGCAATCTTTGTGTTTTCGAGAGAGAAAAATGGTTTTCTGCCCCCCCCCCCCTAAGCCCTAAGCTATGGAACGACTCTTATGTACCCCCGAAGCTACTCGTCAAACATGTATGGAATACTTATGAAAGGATCGAATGGTCAATGAGAGAGAGAGAGAGAGAGAGAGGTTGAATAGAAAACTACAAATTTTTAGCTTAGCTTCCTAATTTAGGAATAGTGCAGATAAAGTAAGTCCTTTAGATATGCAATCTACGACGAGAACAACCTATATGACAAGCAAACTAATCATAAGCAATATCAACCAGCTAGCTAGCAAGAAACACAAGTAAAGGCACAAAACGGATAAACCACACAAGTTGGAGGCGCGGATGTATTCCAAAATTCACACTCTTAGGGGAGTGCTAATCTCCGTTGGAGAGGCGTGAGAGACAAAGCTCCCGAACGCCACCAATTGGCTCACCCTATTCCCCCTTTGAGTCACCCCAACAGACAAGCCTCAAATCACTCGTGATTGGTCTTGAAGGTGACCACCAGACCTTTACAAACTTTTCCAGAGCACATCACGCACACAAGGAAGCTTTTGGGCTTGACTCCTACCACCCAAGAGTCTGAAATCGCCAAGAGTAACAAGAACTAGTGATGAACAAGTATGCGGATCACAAATTGGTTCAGTGGATTGGGTGAATATCTTCCAATCATCAATGTTTGGTGGTGTTTGAGTGGAGGAATTAAGAGGAATCGAGCTTTTAGGGTCTTGGAATTGTTGAGTAGCTCAAATTGGAATAGGTTTAGAGGTGGAAGAAGGGTGAGTATAAATGTCCCCTTCCCAATGTGACTCTTGCCACCCCTGGGGACCCCATGGGCACGAGGATAAGGACCATGTGAGCATAGGCTCACCCGAGAGATGAACCCTAAACCACGTGGCACAGGTGTGCAGACAGAAAATGCCCCCGAGACTAGAAGAGATCAGGGCTATTGTGACGAGCCAAAAAAAATGTCATGGAACAACTTAAAACATCACCGAATACCCATTTGGGATGTTATTTGAGCGTTACTCACATAATCCACATCACTGATTCCTCCCAGTGAAGATGCTCAAACGAGATGTCATAGAACATGGACCTTCATCGACGTTTACTTCATCATAGTTGATATGGTGTTTTTGTGATGTAAGATAAACGTTACATTTTATGGGGCCAAATATGCATGGCCTACCATATTCAGTGACAAATATATCATCACTGGATTTCTGATGGCCCCATGTGCCAAGCCTAATAATCATCCCATTTACTTAGATAAAAAGATATTGGGTCATGAAAAATTTACAACCCAATTTTTTTATTCAGCCAATTTTGATGAGTCCAATTTTGCATCACTTTTTACTTCTTGTTTTACATCATATTCACAATATTTTCAAAAATTTATCGCATTCGCAATCCCCTTTTGGCTGATTTTATCAGGATCCCAATGAAGAAGGATATTTGAGGCATTAAAAAAAGATAACATCAATATGTGGTAAAAAAAATCATGCTAATCAACATGATAATTGCGTACCAAATGAAGCAGCAACCAATTGGGAGAAAAAGCAGTCGCACAGGTGCTTTCAGAGGCAAAGCCGATGTCTGGTATGAGCGCACCCGCTCGTAACAAGTGGTGCCCTCACCCCCAGGCCAACTACTTCACCCTTGTGCTTTCAGATCAACAAGAGGAGACACAAAGTGATTAGAACACGCACCAGAACAAAGTACCCTAGCCTACGGAAGGGACCTAGCGGGTGAATCGGCGGAAGGGCTCCATCACGCCATTAATCCAATCAAGGAGACTACGACAACCATCATCACCCCTCTATTCATATCTGTGTAATACTAAGACTCTAAGCGGATTCCTATGTGTATAATTGATTATTCATCCATGATTGCCATTATTATCCCTATGATGCTTGTTGTCTCTATGTCCAGGTAAACCGAAGAGTGCTTTAGCCCTTTCGTTTTTAAGCAATAATGACCGTATTGAGCGCCTTGCGTGCTCAAGAACAAGCAAGTGGGATGATCGCTTTGTTGCACCCGTGGATATGTTTTCTAACGGGGAAGTCTAGTTTGACGGAGGATCGACGAGAGAGGTGGAATAGAAAGCTCGATATGGATTTTGGAATCTCTGTGCAAGCTGTATGTGTTGAGTCACATGTACGGTATGGATGGGGGTTCATGCCATCATCCATCTATTTATCAAGTTGCCTAGGCTAGCTGCCTCAGGGATAGTGAGTAACCCTAGTATGTTTAGGTGATGAATACCAATAGGATACACAATTCTCTTTTGTATGTTCATGTTAATGTTCTTCACAATGTTGGGTGAATTCGACCACTCAACACTTGCCTTTAGGGACATGAAGGATATTACTATTATTGTGGTTGTGCATTGTGGAGGTACCGCAGTGACAAAGCCACCACCTTCCTTCCCTGACCTCTTGATGGAGGATTACTAGAGACTGCCTTTACCTACATCCATGGGTAGACCCTTAATCACTATTGCCGAAACCTGAATGTGGGGAGGAACGGTGGTGATAGATGTGATATGTGGCTGCTGGCTGCTACATACATGCATGTATATGTACTTGGCTCCGCCACTTATAGAAACATGTGAGGTGGCTTAGTGATTAAACCTACAATTATGCATTCACATAATTATGTTAGACACATACTAATGGGGAATCCAGACTCCCCGAGAATGCCTTAGCCCTATTATTGATTTTATCATTTGCATTACTCTCTTGTTCTTTTACTTTATTCTTCCACTCTTACTTTTAGCCACGAAACAGTTGAAATATTTCAAACCCCGCATCCGCTCTTGCTTTGGACCACAATTGACTTGCAGATACATTGCAGTAAGCCTCTACACGAGTCACATACCATTTCTTGTGCTCCCAGTAAGACCGATACTCTTCGGAAAAATTTCAACTAAACTATGTGCACTTGCAGATTATAAATTGTGATGACATGTTTTTTAAATAATTTACATTCCTGACACGTGTAGGAATGACCCTAGGCCCATGTACGATGCACGACCTCCCCTCACAGCCCAATTCACTTGTGCCTTTGCCTCTCAGAATCAGTCTCCTTGCACTGTTTTCATCCCCAAAATTCCAATCTCCCAACCTAGTCGCCTCCCAACCTTGAGGTTAGATCTAATATCACACAACCTAGCTATGGTGGATCTCCAACAAGTGCTCATGTGGCTTAGATTTCCATCGCCTAGTATTCTAGCTCTCCCCAACGCTAGCACAACATTGGTCTTCCACTGCGAGTCCACTTCCCAAGGAACCCAATGGGGAAGATAGAGAAAGCGGTGACAAGATCATGTTAAGAAGCCCACCATCATTCTTGAAGCAGTTGCATCACATGATCTATGGATTTGGCATGCTCGGGTCTTCCAACGACATCAATATGCTGCAGCGATCTCCATTGTTTGCTAGGTTGACTAAAGGCCAAGCTCCTCCGTGCAACTACATTGTAAATGGGCATGAGTATAACATTGGATACTATCTGGTTGACAGTATCTATCCTCCGTGGCAACCTTTGTCAAGACCATCTCTGAGCCATTGGTCAGAATAGAGCTCTATTTGCCAAAAGATAAGAAGAAGTTAGAAAGGATGCAGAGAGGGCATTTGGAGTGCTCCAAGACTGTTTTTGTTTGTCGACCTACTAAACAATGGGATCCAGAGACCTTGTGGGAGATGGGCATGTTGTGTGATCATGCACAACATGATCGTGGAGGATAAGGCTGAAAATGTTGCCGGAGGTTTGTAATTCCGGAACATGGGTGATCCTATCCAACTTCCACATCAGAATCCGACCATGTTTGATGAGTTTGTCCAAATGCATAAACAAATTTGGCATCAAGAAACTCATGAGCAACTCGAGGAATATTTGATTGAACATTTGTGTGTGGTTAAAGGGATAACTATAACATACATGCGAGTTTAATTCAAGTTTGCACTATTTTATTTGAAAGTTATGGCCGCATTTGAATATTTTCACTCATCAAAGATTTCATATGCTATTTAAGTATTTATTTTGAGTGTTCTAGACTTCAACAAATAAAACACAGACATACGTTTAGGGGACAAGGTTGGCTAGCCGGCCCCCAAATCACTATTCGCGGAGTGGTTCAGACCAGTCCATGGACAAATACAGTGTCCACTATAGGGCCAGTGTTGGAGATGCCATTAATGGCATGGGGCTCTTCATACCTTGGTGTACAGGCACGAC